GATTTCACCTGGAAGCTACTTCACAGTTGCACCAGACTGCAAGTCTACCATCATACAGTGTGCACAGCTTATCCAGCTCTCAAACCTGGGAAAGAGCATACCCCACTTGGTAAGAGGCTAACCACCAACCGAGCAGCGCAGTTAGTTTGTCTGAGAGGAAACCACTGTATTGCATATATGTGAAAGGTAAAGCTGAGGCAAAGCCTACCTGCTGAAGCACCTGGCTCGCTCCAGTCTTCCCTTGCCACAGCCCTACCTGCTTGTGCTGCCTGTGTCCAAGACTGCATCCCCGTAGCGCCAGACTGCAGCGCTGCCATCATCCCCTTTGTACTGGCTGAAGTGTCTGGACCTTCCTCGAGTTTTAACTGTCTGTACGTGCACCTTCACTGCATGTCTGCAGACAAGCACTTCTGAAAGCAGTATCTCAGTGCGCCAATGTCTATCATGTCATGCTCTAAACTCTCTTCTCCCTTTGCATTTATATTGTCTTAAAAAAAGTGGGGCATGCCCTTTCCACTAAAGCACTTGTTCCTGTACCAGGTGCTTTTTATAGACATCTTTTTCTCTCACTCCCCTGTGCCCCATGAAGGGCCTCTTTTTATATTGTTGAAGGCCTGTATATAATGTGCACACACAGACATCGGCACACATATTTACAGGCCTCTTTGTGTTTTTATAGACAGATCTGCATTTTCTGAGTCAGCCATCATCTTTATTGTCCAATCTGCTCTCCAACCTGCCAGCTCATTGCTGAAGCATGAGCACAGAATCCCAGAATGGCTGTGGTTGGCAGGGACCTCTGGAGATCATCCAGTCCAACCCCCTGCCCAAGCAGGGTCAGCCAGAGCTGGGTGCCCAGGACCATGTCCAGTTGGGTTTTGAAAATCTCCATGGAGGGAGAGTCAACAACCTCTCTGGGTAACCTGTGCCAATGCTTGACCATCCTCACAGTAAAAAAGTTTTTTAAATGGAACGTCTTTTTTTTATATATTTTTTTTTTGGCACCTGTTGCCTCTTGTGCTTTCACTGGTTGCTACTGAGAAGAGTCTGGGTCCATCTACTTTACACCTTCCCTTCGGGTATTTATACAAATAGACACAAACACCTTGAGCCTTCTCTTCTCCAGGCTGAACAGTCCCAGCTCATAGCAGAGATGCTCCAGTCCCTTCATCATCTTTGCGGCCCTTCACTGGACTCTCTCCAGTATGTCCATCTCTCTCCTGTGCTGGAGAGCCCAGCACTGGACCCAGCACTCCAGCTGTGGTCTCACCAGTGCTGAGTAGAGGGGCAGGATCTCCTCCTTCGACCTGCTGGCAACACTCATCCTGATGCAGCCCAGGATAACATTCGCCGCCTTTGCAGCAAGGGCACATTGCTGTTTCATTTTCAACTTGGTGTCCACCAGGACCCCCAGGTCCTTTTTTGCCAAGCTGTTTTCCAACTGGGTGACCCCCAGCATATAGTCTTGCACAGGGTTGTTCCTCCTCAGGTGCAGGACTTTGCACCTCCCCATGTTGAACTTTGTGAAGTTCCTGTCAGTCCATTTTGCCAGCTTGTCGAGGTCCCTCTGGATGGCAGCATGACCCTATGGCACATCAGCCACTCCTCCCAGTTTTGTATTGTTTGCAGAAAATTGGAGAGATTCTGTCAGTGGTTTCTTCAGTCTGCCACAACGCCAGCATCCTTCGCTGGACAAACTATCTGCTCCCAGGAAAATGAGACGCGGCCTTTTTGCATCTCCGGTCTTGGTCATTCCTGCAGAGATCTCAAAGGTGGAACCTCGAAGGCATCACTGTAAAGGTGCACAAGTTGACCCCTGCCGCGTCCCCAGAGGCTCTGTGAGCCTGTGCGAGTGTGCACACATGGTCTACATGTGTCTGTGTGTGTACACGTGCACTCACACACTCCCTTTTGCTGTCAGCAGAGTGATACAGGTAAAGCCCTGGCCTTACTTACCTCACTACATTTCCAGATCTGTCTACAAGCTCTTTTACTTGCCCCCTGCTCCAAGCACCCCTGGCCCATGGTGTGCCATTCCACTCACGCTTTCTTTGAGTCGGTTTGCTGGTTTATGCTAGCCGAGAACCCCCAGGGCTTTCTGCATTCCACATGCACTAGGACGGTGTTGGTGTCAAATGCTGAGAGGCTTTTGGGGACACACTGGCGAGCCAAACCTTGTCTCCTGTCCCTGTCTTTCACTGGCTCTATAGAATTGAGGATTGTTGACTGGAAGGAACTGAGCAGAAAGGGCAAACTCTGGCTTTTTATGGGTGATGCACAGTGTGTATATGAAATGGTCTGATGGGCAATTTTTCTGGACAGTAGTGCTTTGCATGAAGGTACAGATGACTGGCTGTACAGACACATCTGAAACAACAGCAGGCCCAGGTAGGCTTGCTCTCCATGCCAGGCGGCTGTATGTGGCTCGTTTCATACCTCACCAGCAGCTGCTATTGCAGAGGCATGGAGAAACGATGGGTGAAGCAAGCCTACCGTCATGGTTTGCATGGAGGTTGACCCAGCACATGCACCTGTAGGCTACCACTCAAACCACCCAGGGGATGGTCTCACGGGATGATCTATGTGACACTAGGACTGCTGGGGCCTGAGGGGCTCACCTTTCTCAATGGGGGAGAAGTATTTTTGCTCATGACTTGGAAGACCTTCAAACTAGGTTCAAAGGGGGAAAGGAACAAAATCAGGCTTACTGGTGATAAGCTATGGGGTGGCACAGCAATGTTTGAGGGACGGTGTGCTAGTGAGGGCTTTCACTCTGCTCCATGATGCGATGAATACACTACTGTGTTGCTGCAGGTGGATGGGGGACCATCATGGGCCTCTGGTGGTACAGTCACCCGCGGCCATGGCACAACCCACCCCTGCACACCTTCCCTGCCTGGGGGAGAGGCAGGACCGACAGCCCGCACCCTGCAGCACCCACGCACCATCACCATCTCCTGCAAGACGCCCTGGACCTGACAGCACTCCTGTTGCACACCCACAGCCAGGCGCTGAGCCAGCACACGCAGCACGGCACGGCAGGGCGCTCCTGGTGCCATGCACCGCGCCATTGCACACTTCAGGGGCTGGGAAGACTGGGCCCAGGATGCTACAAGCCAGTTGGGCTGATGACAGTCCCTTCTGCTTTCAGGGTCAATTATTTACGGAGGCTGTATCCGGGATAGAGACGCAGTTGCTATGCAAAGCCTGGCTCAGCAGTGCCTGGACACTGCAGCCCAGCTCCTCTCTGAATCCCGGAGCCTCCTTATCCCTCTCTGGGGCTGCCTCAACATGGGTAAGAATGAGAACTTACCTAGAGAAGCTGGGCAGCACATGTGTTTGGGGAAAGGGAAGGCCGGGAAAACGTATGCTCTCCCATCTCCTCCGTTCCCAGCACACAGCCCTGAGGCTTCTAGCAGAACAGGGCCTCGCGCTGCTATTAGGCCTGCAGCAGGACCCACAGACACAAGGACAGGAGGCGGAAGCCATCTCCAACATGGACAATCTCAGGACCAAGCCCTGACCCTTGCAGCAGCTGCTGCTGGAGGAGCATGGAAAAGGTCCTCAGCTGTCTGCAGGATGGCCCGAAGGGAGGGGGGCCTGCCAGTCACCCTGCTGCTCTGCTGTCCTGCGAGCACTGCAGCAAAGGAGCAAGGGTGCCTGCCACGGCTGTGGCTGCGCTGTGCCCCATAGGGCCACAGGTCCCAGGGAAGCAGCTGGAAATGTAGGTATGCACCTCCCTGAGTGCAATGGCAGGGGAGCCTGCGCTGCCTTCCCACCGCTCTGCCTTCCAGCACCCATGCCACCTCCCTCTGGCACTGCTCCAGGGGGCAGGTCCCAAGAGCTGGGCCAGCAAGTAGTGCTACCCTCCCCACCACAGACATACCCCTGCCTGCGGCAGAGCTCAGGCCCTGTCTCATCTGGCTGTGGTCCACTTCCAGGTGCTGCCCAGATGGTTGCTGGCTGCTGCACCATCTCTCACTCTGCCCAACCCTGTCTGCTTCCCTCTGGCTGGATCAGAGCAGTGCAGAAGGAAAAAAAACCCACGTCTGCTCACAGCACTGCTCCCTCTCAGGCACAATGGGATGGAGCTACATCTTCCTAGGACAGCTTCGTGAGTCTATATGCCTGGCTAGCCATCAGGCTGTGCCACCTGTGGTACTGCCTGGCAAGATCTCCCCAACGCTGTGTGCTCAGTGCCTCGTGCACATTGCCAGCCCACTACTGTGCCCAAAATAAAGAAGCTGGAGTCCACAGACTATGGGACTCTTGGCAGAGGGCACTCCACCAGACCAGGGCATGTGCGTGCAGGAAGACAGAGCTGGTCTCTGAGGTCAGTGACTCTAAGGAAAGCCCCCACCCTCTGTACTTCTGCCTGCAATCAAACGGGATGGGCTGCAGCCACCAACTGCTCCCCCAGAAGGGACAAGCTCCAGGAAGGAAGGTCACAGGGAACAGCAGGGGTGGAGAAGAAGGCCCCAGGTACAGAAATAAATCGATATATTAGTGTGTACAAAACATGCTGCTTCATCTGTACAGTGCCCCAGCCGGGCGCAGGCTCCCCACAGGGAGTTCACACATATATAAATAAGGCCCAGACAGCTGCAAACAGTATTTACAGCCCGCGGGGGGGCTAGCGCCTGCTCTGGGGCCAGCCCCACCAAGACCAGCTGCTACACCCAGCCCGCGGGATCCTCCATCCCAGCCTGGACTGGCCAGGCTCATTTCAGGTCCACATCAAAGTCCAGCACCAGCAGCTTGGTCTCCTCTGTGCCATTGCGGCTGCCCACTGCACACACGAGCTTGGTGTTGGAGGCGCGGATGCGCCACACTACGCCCCCACTGCCCCCACTCTCCAGTGCAACTAGGTTGCGCACAAACTCGCCCGTCTTCAGGTCCCAGAGCTTGACGGTACCATCATCTGAGCTGGTCACCACAAACTTGGAGCTGAACTGTAAGCAGGTCACAGCACTCTGGTGCTTGCTGGGCCCTGGAAGCAGAGGGTATCTGTTAGTGCTCCTGTGCTCCCACCTCCAACCCCAGGCTCTTTAGCAGCACCCACTGCTGGGCAACATCTGCCCTGACCCTGCCATGTCCAGCAGCTAGGAGCAATATGAACCCTCTCCAACAGCCCTAGTGAGGGGAGCTGTTCCATCCTCCCGCACTTACCCTGCAGTGTTTGCAGGCACTGGCCTGTCTTGATGTCCCAGATCTTGACTGTGGAGTCAGCATTGCCAGATACAAGGATGTTGTCACGTAACTCCATGCCACTCGTGAGCGACTGGTGCCCCATGAGGGTGTGTAGGCAGTTTCCGCTCTCTACGTCCCACACTCGAATTGACGTGTCCAGAGAGCCACTCACGATGTGTGTCCCATCAAACTGCCAAGAGAGGGAGACAGATCAGCACGGCCTGCCCAGAAAGAGGAGTGTTCTTGGCAGTCTAGTGTCAGAGACTTGGGGCATGGCAGATTAAGTGATGTGCTCATGTCCCCTTTGGCTGATCAGGGTACACATGTGTTTGGCAGCATCTTCTCTCCAGGAAACAGACATGGGGTGTGTGTTCCCGCAGTGCATGTGTGTGTGTGTGGGTCAGGGTGGAGGGGCAGAGAGTGTCTCACCTGCAGGGAACAGACATGGCCTGTGTGTCCCTGCAGCATGTGCATGGGGTGGAGAGACAGCCTCTTACTTGCCAAAACAGGCAGGGCTCATGACTCTGCAGCACATGAGCGGGAGGGAAGGGGGAGCCAGGGTATTACCTGCAAGGAGTAGACGCGGTTCGTGTGTCCCTGCAGTGTGTGAGTGCAGCTCTCACTCTCGGGGTCCCACACTTTCACTGTGTAGTCATATGCACCGCTCACCACCTTGTGCCCGTCGTACTGCACACAGCGCACGGCAGCCACGTGCCCCATCAGCACATGCAGACATTGTCCAGTCTCAATGTCCCAGAGGCGCAGAGTGGCGTCCCGTGAGCCACTCACAACCCTGTGGGCAAGCGTGAGCTTGGAGCTTGATTATGTCGACTCTGGGTGTTGCTCATCTGAGATAACCCCAGACACACCAGCTTCCCCAAGGAGTAGCCCCCACTACTCAGATCAGCCCAAGCCCTGACCACCTCGGCACTTTCACCTGCCCTGTATCCCATGCCACAGACTGGCGCTGGCCCCTAATGCTTCTACAACTTCATCTGCCCCATTCCAGAGCCCAGACCAGGCCCCAAACACCATCACGCCCATACCTGTTCCCATGTAAGTGCATGCAGCGCACTGTGGACGTGTGCCCATACAGAGTGTGCACGCATTCGCCTGTGTCTGCATTCCACACTTTGAGTGTCCGGTCCGTGGAGCCACTGATGACAATGCTGTCCCTCATCTGGGAAGACCACACACCCCCTGTGTGGCCAACCAGTGTCTGCACACACTGCAAAGAACAAGATGTGAGACACTGGTTTGGGAAAGGCTGAACAACACAGCAAAAAAGAAAAGCAAAGTGTAGGACTTCCTCCAGGCAAGGGATCAGTAAGGCTCTTCAGGTCAGCAATCCACCTCCCTGCAGACAGACTCAGGCCCCCACCAGAGTCCTCTCTGTGATAATGATCACTTGCTGTTCTAAACCCAACTGAGTTTCTCGCCCTTTCTGGATCTCCAGGAAGGCAGTCTACACTTGTTGACTGCCAGTGAAAACACATGTGTGGCCAACTCTTGCTCATTTGTTACTGCACCAACAGACTTGTAGCTTAAGACAGCTCTTCCCACTGCTCCTGCAGCCACAGGATCTGTCAAATCCTCTCCCCAGTTACACTTTGCCAGAGAGAAGATAAACCCACCTAAAAGTCCACTATGCCTCTCACACCTCCACCCATTCCTGCAGCAATGCAGAGGATCAGCATGACTCCTGAGCGTGCCAGTGGAGCAGCCCTATGATGTTACTATGGACAACAGCTCACCTCCCCCGTGACAGCTGACCACACTTTGAGCGTATTGTCATCTGAGCCACTGACTATCCGGTTGCCACAGAACTGCAGGCAGGTAATGACATGGTCATCGTGTCCCTTCAGCACCTGCATGGAGAACAACACGAGTAAGGAGGGAGGTGAGGGCAGCTCAGAGCACTGGAGCCTGCCGAACCTTGGGCCTCAAAAGCAGCCTTTGAGAATGGCAGGGAAGCAGTAAATGCTGAGGGGAGGAAGAAGAGATGGGTCCCTGTAACACCTGCCACCTCCCTGCTGCTCCTCTGCTGGGCAGCAGCTACAGCAGGAGCCAGGAGGGCATTTGGCGGCTTCTGCTGCAGGACAGTGGGCTACCTGGGGACTCCAGAACATGGATGGACCCTCGTGGCTATTAAAGCTGCGCAAGCTATTAAGCTCAGAGCTGACGCTCTGTCCTAGATCAAAAACTGGCAGCCACCACCCAGAGCACATTTAGGACCTCAGCTCCATTTTCTACATGGTGGAAGGCAGGCAGCGCACAAACAGCTGTGCACCAGCTGCCACCTCCCCAACACGGTGATGTGCAAAGAGAGCAGCAAAGGTGAGCAATGACCAAGCAACATCTGCAGGCGGGCAGAGCTCAGGCAGGATCCCAGGGAAGGAGGAGGCAGGTCAGACAGACCTGGCCAAGCCACAAGGAGGGGCAGCATGAGGGCAAGCAGCAGCTCGGTGTGAAAACAAACCCAGAGCTGCCCTTTGCAGGGAACGTATTGAACTTCCCTTCAGCCAGGGACAAGTACAGGGTGGATGTCCCTGGCGGCAGACGTCCCTGCTGGCAGCGTCCTGGAGAGCTCTGCTCACGGCAGGCACAGAGACGAGGGTGTTGGGGGTCTCAGGAAAGGGCTGCCTGGTGCCAATTTGCTGCTGGGGGGTGCAGCCCCTGCAGTGACGGCACCATGCAGAGCACTGCTGCTCACCTTGGGTGCCTCCAAGGCAGGGGCTTGGAGAAGGGCCTGGAACACCGGGGACCCGGAAAAAGTCTCCGGAGGTGGAGAGCAGCAGGACTGAGACTGTAACCTGAGAGAAGGGGTGGCTGGGGTTCTGCTCTCCCTGCCTGCTGGACAGGGATGAGGGGCAGGCAGGGACCTTGGCAGGGAGAGAACACCCAAGTGTTCTGGAGCCCTGTACCAGGGACAAGGCTTGGCTGAGCCCCAGAAGGGTTGTACCACTCCCTGGATGTCAAGGTTAGCTACGGCCTTGCCACAGGTGCTCAGAGAAAGGGTGAAGGAATGGAAACGCCCTTCTCTGGGGTCCAGGGTGACACTTTTTCTGCTGGCAGAACTGCAGCCCTGTACCATCCACTGTGGCAATCCCCGCGATCAGCTGTGCTGCCAGCCAGAGCACATGGGAAAGCTCCAAGCAAGCTGTGCTGTGGATCTGCTCTCTACAAGCAGGGACAGGAGTTGCAGGAAGCTGGCAGGACCTACAGCTCCAAATGACCTTTAAATTCAAAAATTGCCAGGTGAATGCCTCTGGCCTGTGCCTCCAGAAGACAGGTCAGGTTTGTGAATCTTTTCCCAAGGCACTTAGAAAATTCTTAGTGTTGTTCTCATCCTATTGGTCATGGTCATTTCTCAGCTACTTCCTTCCTGTACCAGCTTCCTACACGTCAAAGCTCTAGCATCTGGTTCTCAGCAAGGACTCCTGAAAGCACCCACCTTGGGGGCTTTAAGCTCCCCACTGCGCCAGTTCATGTCGATTTTGTGCTGCCGCATGAAGGCGAATTTCCAGGGGCTGTACATGAATCCAGGGCTCAGCAGGCGCCGCTTCCGCAAGTTCAAGGGCTCCTCAATGCCTGCAGGAGGAAAACACAGCGGATGCCTCACACTACACAGGTGGTCCATGTCCTCACCCTATTAGGGAGCTAAGATGATGCACATACGTGGGAGTTGTGGGCTACCCCACCACAGATCCCAGCCACAATGTGCCACATGCCATATGGAGGAGGGGTCTTTACCTTCTTCACGGCATTTCTCTCTCCAAAGCAGGTTATCTTCAGCCAAGACCCTCCAGTAGCGACAGGTCTGGGCAGCACGGAGCAGGTCCCGAGGCTCCAAGAATGAGAGGACATAGAGTGCCAGCTGCAGGAGTGGAAGCCAAGTCACAAGGGCACAGTGGACTCCCATGGCTGGCAACTGCTGCCCAGTACCAGGGCCAGCCTGTCCCTTGCCTCAACTCACCTCCTTGGGCAGCAGGGAAATGAAGTCTCTCTGGAACTGGGGTTCAATGACCTGCATCATGTACTTGATTTGAGAAGGCTCGCAGCGGTCAATGAGCTCATCCAGAGCAAGCAGCTTCTCCGGGCCACTCCACCGCTGAGAAGAGGGACATCGGTCACGATGCCTGCACACACGGCAGGCTCTCACAGGCTCCCCTGTGGCTCTGTGCAGTGCCTATGCCCCCACCCCAACTTTAGCAGAGACACCAACCAGCACAGGCAAGACAGGCTAGCTGGACCTCTGGAGCAGGCCAGGGCTCTGCTACCTAGATCCCAAGACAGAGAGGAGCCACAGAGATGGTGTTGGGAGCTCCATGAGTCACATAAGATAGAACACAGGTGCTGTGTGATGGCAGACAAAGCAACACCACTCCAGGATGAAGGGGAGCAGGAGTGGGGCTAACGCCACTTCTGTGCTCCTTTACCTGAGGCAAAAACTCACTAGAAATCCACTGTGGGACCCGAACCCCTGCCTGTGGTGGGTTTCACACAGACAGAGTCCCTAGGGCTTGGTTCCCCTCCTGCCTGCCCATCAAACCCAAAGCTTCTCAGTGCCCTCTGAGGCAAGCCCTTTGGCAATGCTCCAGAGCCTACCTGGAAGGTGCGGAGCCAGTCCTGCAGCTCGGGAGGAGGGGCAACTGAGGGGATGCGACGGCGCCGTGCCTGGCCTGCTTTGGCGTTGCGCAGGTCCCCAAAGGTGGTGGTGGGACTGGGCATGCAGGGACCCAGTGTCCTGGACCGCAGCCGGGGAGACACCAAAGCAAAGGTGAGACATGCCAGTGCTACTCTGGGCCACACTGTGCAAACAGTTCTCAAAAGAGAGGTCCCCATAAACCACCAGCTGTGACCCTCCCACCAAGCTAACTCCCTTCCCCATCACTTCCACTGGGACCACAGCTACACATGCAGTCCCCTTAGCCCAGCCTGCTCTACAGAAGGACAGAATCACAGACTGGTTGAGGCTGGAGGCACCTCCAGAGGCCATCTGGTCCAAACGCCTGCTAAAGCAGGGCCACCCAGATGGCTTTTCTGTCTCTCCAAGGATGGAGACTCCACAATCTCAGCAGGACACCTAGATGACTGAGGGATGGGACTGGTAGAAGGAGGTCTTCCCACCCCCCAGGTCAGCTCATTGCTCAGCATGCAGAGCACCCATTTTACCTGCTGTACTCAGAGCCCTTGCACAGCTTTTTACCAGGGGAAAGGGCCCTGCCATCCAGGCCGTTCTCCGACTTCCTCTTCATCTGCGAGGAGAAGACAAGTTAAAGTAGGCTGGAGCAGAGCCCTCTGTGCGCATTCTGGGTCACTGATTTTCTGCCAAAAGTGACAGAGTAGGAGACCCAGCCTAGCAAGTCTTCCAAGCCCACGCTCACGTAGGGGACCTGCAGAGGGAAGCTGAAGGCCACCTCCAGTAGCTGACCCGGGCATCAGCTGCAGCCCTGCACTCAGGGCTGGCCAGGGCTTCTCACCACAGTGCCCACGTCCCGCAGAAACCTCCCTGAGGCCTTTGCCTGACCCCCCAGCAGACTCCTGCTGCCCCAATTCAGGCTCTGCACTCCAACGCAGGGACCCCAGTGCAGAGCAGGGTGGCTCCACTGGGGCCTGGCACGGCTAGGGACTGCCAGCAGCACTCGGACAGACTGGGACAGTGCCTCCTTCCCCCAGCCCTAACAGCCAGGCAGGCTGACAACTGCTGAGCACAATCTGCACCGTGGGGCTCCCAGACCAGCCAGCACCCAGTTGACAGCCCCGAGCTCCCTGGCTGGCCCGCAGCAGCCCAGTGTGTCCTAGGGGTCTGCAGCAGCGACGACAGCCAGACAGACATTCCATACAGCAGCAGCTTGAAGTGCTACAGCATGCCATGGCCCACTCTGGCACCACTGCCACGGCAAGCAGTGGGTGCCGACAGGCTCCGAGGCCACCAGCTACCAGGTCGGGCCCACGGGCAACGTGCCAGCGTCAGCTCCTGCCAGGGAGTCACCAACCGCACGGGCAGCCCTACTCTTTGGGGTGAAGCCCTTGCCTCGGGCTGCACTCCCGGTGGGGTTACCTTGGGCCGCACGTGACGGAGGAGGCCACCATCCTCTGTCCGCTGCAGGTAGTCTATCCAGCGCTCTCCGATGGTGTAATAGAAGTAGACATTGCTGCCATCCTCTCCTTCCTCGCTGTAGCAGCTGCCCTCTTCCTCTTCTTCCTCCTCCTCCTCCTCCTGCTCCCCGCAAACTGTAGAGCTGACTGGCTCCTGCACCCGTTGCCCACTGGAGCCATCAGCCTCTGGTCCTGACCTTGGGCTCCCTTTCCCAGAGCGCTCCGGCTCCCAGGGGCCCGAAACATCCTCCTCCTCAGCTACCACCTACAACATAGGGAGAGGCAGGGTCAGGCCTGTCTGCTGCAGCTCTGCGCCCCAGCTCTCAGGGTGCCCTGGGGCCCGGGCTGGGGGACATGCTGGGGAGCTGAGGGGACTGCCAGTGAGACCAACGGCCCAAGGAATACAAGGGCTTCCCTCTGCAGTACAAAAGAGGGGGTGATGAGCTAAGCAGAGCCCGAGATGGGAAGACGGGAGCAGATGACTGAGCTAAGGTGCTCTCTGGGGTCAAGGGGCAGCTATGGCCAAGCACTATCTGGAGACAGGTCACTTCCCAGCCCCACAGGGAAGCACAGCTGCGATGTGACCAAATTACGTGGCAGCCGACAACTCTGTACCTGAGCAGAAAACACAAACACTGCAGGAGCATCAGTGTTGCTGAACAATGCCAAACTCGGGAGCACCAGCTCCACCTCTGCAGAGCGAGCCGTCTCCTGGCCTGCAGCTGGGAATAGCCCTCTTCCGCCCTTCAGTTGTCAAAACAGGGAGCAGAGCTACTGCGCACATGAGCTGCCATGTCAGGGCAGGACCCCAGCATCAGAAAGGAGGTGCATGCTGCATTTCAGCCCTCAGCACGGTGCAGAGGTCCCTTCGCCCTCCAGCCAATCTGACCAAGAGCAACAATTACTTGAGAGGTCGTGAGTAGTGTGTGCCCATCTAATGCCATCTGCACCCTTCCTCCCCAAAGCAGCACCGTGAGTAACACCAACAACAATAACAAAAAAAAAGCAGACGCATTCAGTAATTACTTGGCGGAAGCAGAACAACGCCCCTGTATCACATGGGAATGAGGAACTGTTTTCCAATACACCAATGAAACATTGCGATCAGCAGCCCAGTATAATTTGCACCTGAGTCCTAGAGAGTAGGGCAGATCGCTGGCCCACAGCAATTATTTTTGGTAAATCTTGGAATACAGGAGAAACTGCAAAGACCAGGAGAGTGTGAAAGTTGTGCCAAAACTGAGGAAGGTAGTAGAAAAACGAGTCTTTACGTAGCCTGACATCTGGCAATAGAGAGGCCAGTGCAGGATTCAAAAAGTACAAGATAAATGACGGGGACATGCTTTGTACCAGCTGATGAGACTTTTTGAAAATAGGTCTTTTTAAATAAAGTTGAGTTTATTCCTTGAAGTGTTACATTTGATTAAAAAAAGCAATTACATAAATCACATTGATGAGACGTACTCATAGACTTCTAAGCATTTGACCAGGGCACAGGCTTCTGATGAAAGCACTGGCAGGCCACAGCCTCTAAATGGTTTTTGGATGAGATGGCTTAGATCAAGAAAGAGCCAATGAACAGATCTCAAAATGTACCTGTTAATGGGAAACTGCAGATTTTCTGCTGATAGGCCTAGTACAGACCCGTAAGGAGGGGGGTGTGTGGAAAACCACAGTAGTCGATATTTGTTTTATTCATGATATGGGAGTAGACAAAATCTTTTCTGATTACATTTTAAGACTGACACTTGTGTAGGTAGCAAGGACAGGACAGTCACACGGTGTGATCTGCATCACTGGGTAAGCTAGGCTCACCCAAATTAAATGCATTTCAATACACCCAGAGACAATGTTCTCCACCTAAAGACAGGGAGAGCAGGGCCACCTAGGCACCAGGGAGTGTGCCTCCTATAAAGCTGAAAAGGATTGAGGGGTCGCACTCAGCACAAGCTTCAGGCTAAAAAGTCTGAACAGTGAAGAAGTGTGAGCAGGAAAGCAGTACTACCCCTTGTGTTGTCCTATACACTCAAGTCCTGCAATAGCCAATCCACATTTTTAAACAGAATGCTTAAAACTTGGAAGATATTGCTCTATCTCCTCCCCCAAATGATTAAAAATCTGGAGAAAATATTTTGTAGAAGAAAAGAAATGGAGAGTTTGTTTGGTCACAACAGAAGAATACACCTGGGGAACAAGAAAATCCTGCTGCTTTATAGGGCTCCTACCAAGCAGTGCAACATTTATCGCAGTTAGGGCTGGGTTTATTTCCATTTAGAAAGCAGGCCTCAGCACACATGTCCTTAAGCACCTAGCGCTGGACAGACTGCCCAGATCAAAGGCAGATTGGTCATCTCTTCACACCACCTAGTTAGACTGGACCCTGTTTGGCAGATGGGCTTGGAACAGGACTGGACTCTTGGGCAGAGAGGTGGTGGCCAGATGAGAAGACGCGACACAAGAGCCCATCTGGACACACCTTTTCAGGAGGGAGCACTGAACCCGGGTTTCTCAAGCACTTCCTCTGGCATCTAGAATTGGGGGTCACATCTAGGTCTTGGATGATAACACACCCTGCGACGACACTCCTGGGGCAGCAGGGGGACAGGACAGTCACTGACATCTCCCAGGCAGTAAAACACCTTCCAACAACCATCCTCCCCTGCCCACACAGCACGCTCAAGCTTGGCAGGGCAGAGCTGCTCTTAGGTGAGTGAATTTCCTCAGTCCCATGGACGGCAACGCAGGAAGATGCACTCCTGAAGAAGTCCCCAGAGCCGAGCTGGGTGTGTGCCAGCCCAAGCAGGCAGTGTGCTGGCTGCCGCTCTCCGCAGACAAGGCGGATGACAGGGTAGAGAGCTTGGCAAGAGACAGGGACTCTGGCCTCCTCAGCTGTCAGTCCAGGGGAAGAATCTCTCTCCACGCCCAGTTCTGGCCTCCAGCGATGAACAATTAGTGGAACTTAACAACTGCCTGCAGGAGACCTACAGATGGCTAGCTGCTCTGGGGCAGGGGAGGCAGCAGGAAGCCACGAGTGTCCTCTGGGGTCAAAGCATTTTTTCTATCCGGGATGTTGTGGCAGACGCATCACAGCAGCCAGAGCAGCTCCCAGCAAGGCTCTGTACTCAGGGGCCACCGCAGCCTCTGGCAGGACACCACAAAGCCAGCTGGGCCCGGAGTGTCTCAGCCTCCCTGACAGGATACTCCCCAAAGCCAGCTGCCACCTTACAGGGAGACTGCGGACAGATCGCTCAGCTGTTTGAAAGGGCACAGCATTCTTTGGGCCTCCCCATTCCAGTGCCCAAAGCAGATATGACTCCTCCCCTGTCACTCTACCACTCTACCTTCTCCCAGTGCAAGATCCCCCTCCCCAATTCCTGCACTGCTGGAGGGAGGATCACCTCCGTATCAGGTAGGCAAGGGAATTCTACCTTTCTTTTCCTACCTGAGGCGCAGGAGCTTTACTGTCCCCCTGCAGACCAGGGCTCACCCTCGCAGCTTCCTCACTGCTTGGCCTCCTCCTGCAAGTCATCCGCTGACTGTTCAGCTCCAAGATGCGGGTGGTGATGCCTTTGACATGGAGAAGATCATCGAGTGAGTTGAAGCCCTTCAGTTCCTGTCAGGAGAGAAGATTCGATATAGAGCTGAGAAACCCAGGCACCAGCCTCAAAGCAGGACCAAGCTTACTCACACCCTCCTCAGACTGGCTCTCTTTCTCAGCCGGTCCAGACCTACCAGCTTGCATCTCACTTACAACCACCTGCTCCCTTTAGGCCTTCAGGGTAAAGAGGGTTGGGGTGCCACAGCAGGGTGATGCCTTTGTACTGCAAGTCCTTGTTACTGCTCCCATCCACGGTAAGGGATGCCTTATGCCCAAAACAGCTGTTCCCATGTAATCCCTCCTGTTTCCACAAACTTTTCCTGCCCTGAGCGACAACTGCAATGACTGCAAGGAATGGGCAACAGCACCAGAGCTGCTACTAACAAGGTGAGTAGCGGCCCCAACAGCAAAGGCTAGAAGCTCAGAAAGGGGAATTGTGCCTTCCAGCTGACTAGTACCAAGACTGGGAGTGTTCCCTGGCCCACACAGTCAATATTCCTTGTCTGCGGCTCCAGGGAATGGCAACAGCCCCTGCCTCCTGACAGGCACAGGCGTGTCCGTGTGCAAGGCACCCACCATCCTGCAAAACACCAGGTCAAGTGCTGCCGAGTCCTGCACTCAGAACCACGTGTTGCCACCAATCGTACCTACACACCGCACAGACTGCAAGCGGCTTCTGCCACAGGCCTAAAGGGCCTAAGCCCAACTGGGACGGCCTTGCTGTTACCAAGGGGGCAGGACTCCAGGGTTGAAAGCATCCACCCTTTCCGACTAACACAAACATCAGGGCCAAGACAAGGTTCCGACCATCCTTTCAAATCCATCATGCACCATTTTGAGGCACTTCTGCTGCTTCTCCCCTATAAATGGTTTTACCAAAAAGCACAATTCTAGCGATGCACCCCACTTCTGTGAAGCCATCCTCACCTGTTCTCACACCAGCAGTCCTTTTGTTTAAATGGCTCTTCCACCTCCCCAGTATTTATGTTCCTGCTGTATTTACAGCTGGTGACCCTGCACCCCTCAGCCTCCTCTTTTCCAGGCCAAAAAAAGTCAAGCTCTTCTAGTCTTGCCTTGTCAAGCCAGCCTCCCCTTCCCCCAACTTCTCCTGCCTCGCTCCTCTGCCCATTTCAACACGGATGCCATATTCCAGCTGTGATCTTACCAGTTCTTCATGGCATTCATTAATGGCAAAAAGGTGGCATTGATCTTCCCGTCACTGCGAAAAAGCGCCACGGCAGATACAGCCAACTATCATGCTTACCTTTTCTGTGGCCGTGTCACCCTGGCAGCTCAGTCATCCTGTCAGTGGCTACCACACGCAGGCTTTTCTCCTACTCTGTCATTTCCAAACGACAGAGCTGAACACTCAACCCCGGGGGAGTGGCAGGAGTTCCCGCCCCCCAACAGC